CGTTAGACACCTGTATAATAAAGTAGTTGTATTAAATGGTGCTACTACTACATTATAAGAGACCCAAGAAAAATAATGGACGAAATATTAATTTTAAAAAATATCGTTTTTTTTTTTGATTTTATATTCCTTCACAGTAATGAGAAACATGTCACCTTTTTCAAAGTGTCCGTTAAGTATTATATGAATATAAACAAACGTTTACAAGTATACAATTTGTAGATACAACTTTTTTGAGTTACAAAAAAAAATTTATAATTAGAAAAAAATTATTTTTATAGAAAAACTCAGAAACATTTAGAAGTATGTAAAACTGAAAATTAAGTATTTTTTCAGTACTACTAAATGAAACGTGATATTCTACCACTTCCTCGTGTATACAATTCCTACATTTTCTTTTTTTTTCATAAAGACACGGTGAAGTAATAGAAAAGATCATGATAAAATAACGTGGTAATGTTATCCGCTCATCTGCTCATACAGCCCCTTTTGTGAACTTCTATATGAATCTATATTACACTCCGTTTTTTAGAAAAATTTCAACTATTCCTTATACACAATTTTACCATAACAAATGGGAAAGCATGGTCTAGTTATTTTTCTGCTGTAAATATAAGTACAGCGCATTCTATATGTACTTTTTTTTTTATGCATTTTTAAAGGGGGGAAATAGCAACATCAAGAAGAAAAAAAAAGCTGAAAAATTAGTGTAAGAAATGGAAAAAATAGAGTGAATGAATATAAAATAATTAATGGAAATGGTGAAAACAATGTCACATTGTGTAGAACAATCCGATGTTTTTCAGTGATACTATCACTTTGCACGCTACATTCATTAGAAACCCCCAACTTATACAATTTTTTTATTAAAATAGTAAAACAAATTAAAATTCTTTGTATTTTCACGAAAAACAGTATGCAGTATCTTCATTAAACCATGTCTTTCTATTTGTTCGCTTAATGTTCCTTATTTCTACATATGACTTTTTTTGTCAGATCAAAAAATTTCCTTGCTAATAGTGTCTATTTTAAAAAGGATAATTGATACTGATAAAACGTATTATTATCGTATATAGGAAATACGAAGTATAACACATTTTAGAATATGAAGCATCTGCAACCATTTTGACAGTAATGTAAAAAAAGAAAAATGCATTTTAATTAATTTCAATTCTATGAAGCACATTGAGCGCGTTGTTGGCTTACGAATTATAATGCATAATTAGGAGTTCATAATTAAAAGAAAAATAAATAATATGATACGTGCACTCTCTTTTACATTACTCTTATGTTTAATGTTGCATATACACGTGTTTTTTATAAGGATAGCATGGTTATCCAGTATCTATTAAGACGGATAATAAATTAAATGAGTTCTATAGCATTCATGTTTTTTATATTCCTTCTAAGCGCTTTTCTAGAAAAAAAATACTTTTACGTGAAACTTCATACATTTGTTGACTACTTAATGAATCATTCTCCCTTTCGGAATAACACTAAAGTGTGTTATAGACGGAAAATGTTAATAAATTCCATTTGATGTATGGTAACCCCCCTACGGGATGTGGCGCAGCAGCTGTATCATTTAACATAACACACATATACTTTAAGGGAAAACATACATTTTCATGTTTCTAAATTATGCATACCATTTTTTTGCATCACTTTTTGCATAACATAAGTAGCTAAATTGGTGAAGCAATTGCAGACTTCTTCGAAATTATAGCATGACGTATTAGTCTTAATTTGACCGAAGTTTTACATAAAAATTCATGAATTGTCTAAAATGCTGAGAATATGAATAACACCGTCCTTTTGAAGCAACATCTTAGATAACAGTTCAAAGAGCTCTTCGTAAATTTTCTTTGATAGGAGCTATGTAACAATTATGCATTAGTGCTCTACACTAGCGAAGATGTAACATGCTTTCCTTTCATAATAAAAATCAGACGACGTGAAACGGCAAATTTGGTTATATGACAAAAGTGACATAAATTGTCTGGGCTTAAGGAAAGGAAATAGTAATTATCGGAAAAGGTTTAGAAAAGAATTACAAATTGCATGTCGCATATTTATTACGAAAAATGAGGAATAAGTTATAAAAATGTATTCTAATAAGTATAAATTCTGTAATGGAACTTAGAATAGACAGGAGTACTAATTCGTTTTATTTTATCTTCTTGCTGCCACCTGCATATCATTTTATGCCAAACTGTGAGGCAGCACAGCTCAAAGGAAACTGTTTTTTTACGTGCCATTTTTGTTCAAAATAGGTCAATTGCATATGGGAAGAAAATATTTGCAGGAGTCTCTTATGCATCTGCAACCAGTTTTACTTTGCCATTTTTCACATTATGTTTGTTTCTCCTCTGATAAAGTTAGCTTTAAAATATTCTAGTAAATTAAAGAAAAACGGTAGGGTAAAAAAAAAAAAAATGTGCCTTAAAAGACGACAAAGGTGTAAGCAATGCAGTTCAATCTTTTTAAAATAAAATGAATGCAGAGCAATGGAAGCTTCATTAAGGCCACTCAGATTGGCATTCCTATAAAAATGTACAAATATACATGATAGATTGATAGATTGATATATTGGTAGATAAATAAAAAGTACGACATGTGTCTGCTTTTTTAAGAATAAGGCAAAAACTGCAGACAGCGTCGAAGGTAAGTCGTATTTCGTTTCAAGCGAAAGTGATATGTATTTCGATACCTACAAATAGTCACCATCGGTATTCCAAAAAAAAAAAAGTACGGACAAATTTTGCAGTTTTAAAATTGAAATTATAAAGGTTGTCGTTGTCTTTAGAAATATATGTCCATATGAAAGGCAAAACGTCATGATGTGAGAAAGAATATTGAGAATCCGTGTTCCATGCATTCCACATTTCCGATGTATGCTGGTCACACTTTAAAAAAATTCTACATCAAAATAGGTATTCTTTTATTTCTGCAGTAACTGTACTATGTATGTAAGCATCGTTCATAGTAAGGTAGAAAAGATATATATAGGGAATGAAATGTGCATTTTAGAAGTACGCGTTTTTTCCCACCTTTTTGCGTACACTCTTTAATGCTAAGTAAAAAGTGGGAATATGCAAATTATGCGAAAGAAATTATACATTTAAAGGCGTATATATATGCTGATAAATTTTATTGCATTTACTGAAAAAGGAGAATGCATACAGGCTTCATTTGAAAAACGTCGCGCCAGGTGATACTTTAAGCGCAATAGTAGTGCTCCACAGGGGAATTTTGTAATTATATAGAAGCTGGTACGCCGGTTTATTAAACTAAGTTCTCATGCCCAAAAAAAAAGCAGCGAAAAGGATTGGTGTGTTTTTATTATCCCCTTTAAAAAAAAAAAATAACCTACAGAATAACAGTGATATATATGTCGTTGGGGGGCTATATGAAAAAAAAAAACAAATACGTATATAATATGTATACATGTTATTGGAAATATATTGTTGTACACGCACAAGGGATGTAAAAAAAAAAAAAAAGGATATGTACTATTAAGGTCATTATTTTTAAAAATGTGAGCAAACTAAATTGTCTCAATTTTCTTCGTTTCTCTAATTTATGTTATGCTTATTCTTAATTTCACTACATAGCGTACCCAAATAACGTTTGTTAGCGGCAAAATTGTTAATTAATATGAGGGTAATATATTTTTTTTTTTTAATGCGTCCACGTTCACAGTACTATATATATTTTTTTTTTGAATGCGTCCACAATGTGTACTTTTTTTTCTTTATTTTTGAAGTCGATAAGAATCTTTATTGACATTTATTTAAACGTCTAGTTTTAGAATTATAACTTTTTTTTTTTTTTTAAAACTTTAAGATAGCTAAAATTTTCATTACGGAAATTACTTTCAAACATGTAAGAAAGAAAATAATTTTTAAATGTGCAAAGTTACAGAAGACGAGTTTTTTTAATAGCCTTAAGAGTAAAGCACAATTTTCATTTTTAATAATAGCTAATTTTTTTAAAACGTAAAGATATGATAAAAGAATTCATATTCAGTTACAGATTTTTTTTAATGCATTACCTGGAATTGTTTTAGAACGATTTAACTTGTTATCCGTGTATCATAATATGTTCATGTGTTGATGTATACATATACATATGCATACATAATGTTCGCAGATATACCTTAACGAATCTTGTTACCAAATAAAAAATACATGTGTTTGTATATGTACATGGACCCATGCATATATCTGCGTGTACCCATGCATATATGTCCGTGTACCCATGCATATATGTACGTGTACCCATGCATATATGTAGGTGTACGCATGCATATATGTACATGTGCGCACATGTACATACGTACGTGTACACATATATGCATACAGAAAGGTATGCCTGTTCACGTGGTTGAGAAAACGAAGCTGCGTTAGAAATTCTCTTTCGAATAGCACTTGAGGAAAAATACGTGTGCTGCATGGTACATTTTAACGTCCTATATTGTTTTGAAAATATTACACACAGGCCTTCCTAATTTCTTTATTTTTTTATGCTGAGCGACAATCCGTTATAGCGGCAAACACATGTTCTTCAGAAGAAAATGAAATTAACATAGCAAAGCATAGAGTAAAAAAAGATAAAGTTAAAGATAAAGTTTCTTTTGTTTTTTAATTCCTCGCATGATAAAGAGACACCTATACCATTAAAACGGCTTCACCAGCAAAATATTAAAGGGGAAGGGGAAGGCAAAAGATATAAGCAATCCAAAACGGATAGCAAAAGTTCAACACGGAAAGTTATATGCGTAGCGATAGTAAAACGAGAAAGGAGATAAGAGAAGATTCCCTGGCATTTTAAATACAACTATGAGGGTTCCCATGTTCCATCTTTTTTAAAGCCCCTTCTCTTTTCCACACATCATACACTGTGTGGCCATTGTGTTTATTTGTAAGATCACGTGCCTTTTGCATAAATTACTCTGCAAAAAAAGCGACAAATTTGGGTAACGCTCTTGTGGAGCAAAAATGGAAGGAGACGTGAAAGATGGTGGGAAAGACACGGTAAAAGGTAACAATAGCAGCCGCGGTAAAGGAGGCAGTAAAGGCGGAAGTAAAAGCGGCACTAAGCAGGGCAGTATCAGCAGTAGTAAAAATAGCACTGTCAGCAGTAGTACCATCAGTAGTAAAACTAGCAGTGTCAAGAGCAGTGTCAAGAGCAGTGTCAAGAGCAGTGTCAAGAGCAGTGCCAACAGCAGTGACAGCAGCAGCTGCACCAGAATGGACGCGAAATATTCAACTGATGCGCGCGCCCCAAATTGCGACGGAGGAGACTTTTCCGACCCAAGAAATGAATTTCACATCCACAATACGGATCAGGAAAATTGCCGAAAAACACAAAAACACAATATAAAATTCACACATGTAAATAATTCCCATTGGAATTACGACAACCAAGCCGTTAGACAGAGCTACGACGCGATTACATCTAATGAAATAAGTGCGAACAACGCAAATATGTGTTTCTCAAATAATAGCGCTATGAATTATCACCCTCCAATGCGTGATGGTAATAAAAATCTAATCAAATCAAATAATGTGGGTTACTTAGATTCTAATACACTAAATTTTAACCATGTCTACAATATGAATAAAGTTTACATTGACGGGAATCCATTTGCCATTAAGACAAGTACAACAGACAATAATTTACTAAACATGAATTCTGCTTATTTTAATAATGCAATGAAATGTTCCGATTACCACAATTCTAACAACTACATATATCATACTGGCATGCTAAATACGAGCACATCAGAAAATCAGAAAAATTATTCCAACAACTCAAGTCCGTATAAAAATGATTACTTGAGATATAACCTCTATTCTGTCAATTCTATACATAATAATCTGAATCTTTCTAATGTATCCAATTCCAATAACGTCAACTACAACGTATTTAACAGCAACATCATCACCCCTGCCTCAGATGCAATGAATTATAACCCCATAAATAACTCATGTAATGTGAAATATACATCTAATATGCTCGATTCTACAGCAATAGAAAATATCAACTTATCCAAGGTGAAGGATCTTAATTTTAGCCACTCCCACAAGGTATTCTTGCAAGACTCTGATTTGTCTAATCATTCCTATGGAAAATTAAAGAATGAAAAATTGTCTCCAAATTATTCCAACCCCGTGTGTAATGTAGTCTCCATCGAGGACCCTTCTAGATACATTTCGAACAATCGTAGCAAGCGTCCAAATAAAAACCATTTAAAAACTAATGCTTTAAATAGTACTGATTCTAGCGTAGAGAAGGAAGACGTTAATGCGTTACTTTTTGCCGAACCGGGAGTCGCTGGCAACGATAGGGCGAAATTACTAACTAGGGAAATTGAGAGTTGTGAAGAAGTGGTGTCAGAGGAAAGTGCGGAAAGGGCAGATCGAGTGGAAAAAACATATCGATCCGAAAAAAAAGATCGATCGGAAAAAACACAGCTTGGTCACAAACACGAGCGAGGACAAGCTCGCCAAAACGACGTATCCATCGGGGAAGACAAACACAGCGACAAAAAAAAGAAAAATGCACACCTAATGAGAAACCATTCAAATACTCAAAATAAGAAGCATAAAAGCGAAGGAAATTCACCAAATACAGATGTCACAAGTGGAAAACCAAAAGGAAAGTCTTCTGATCAAGAAAAAGAAAGCTACGGCAGGGAGCACAAATCAAGAGAAAAAAGCAATAGAAATGAACGGAAGAAAGATTCAAAGGAGGAAAACTTCGCAGTAACCATAACAAAAAATCAAAAGAGTAGAACAAGCGTAACAGATCAAAATCAACAATTGAAGGGTGAACAGGCAAATTTCAATTGTAAAGAAGATACAGACGAATGCAGTTACAAAAAGGGCGCAAGAGAAATCCCCTCAAAAGGAAACAGTAAAAATCAAATAATTGTGCACAAAAGAAATAGCCAAGTTTTGACAAAGATTATGAATTTCCATGGTTCTCATGAAGATATAAAAAATGATGCGAATTGTCATAAAAAGAGGTATAACACAGAGCACACAACAGGTGACGAATCCCCCGACATTGTTAAATCCAATACGATAAAAGATAGGATGAGATCACGCTCAGCAACAGAAGAGGCAGAAAGAAATATAGCCTTACAAGCTAGTATAAATGGGAAAAATCTGTCAAAATATGATTTTCTCATGAATAGAAATGTCGTTTTTAATAATGTTTCCATAGAAAATAAAAAAGAAGGGAAAAAGAAAATAACCTCCTCGAAAAATTGTGAAGAAAAATGCACCAATTCGGAACAGGTGCAAAACGATAATATGGCGAAAAAAAAAAGAAAGCTTAAAGACATCAGCCAGGTAGAAGCTGACTCAAGAGCTCAGGCCGTCGCGGAAGTAGTGAGCAAAAATGAGAAAAAAAAGAAAAAATTGAAATTATTAAAAACGAACGACGATCCAAAGGATCAAAAAAATGCCGGTGATCTAAGCAGTGCAGTTATCACGAATGGTAATAATCATAAAGACAAACGAAAGGAAAAAGCTGGTCAAGACGAAAGAGATGCTTCTAATGCAAACGCGGGGGGAAATAAAAATTGTGCTAAACCACCAGAAGGGGATGTGGTCAAAGGGGAAAATCTCGCTGGAAAGAAGCAAAATGACAAAAAAAATGAAACAGGTGTGTTAAAGGTGGAAAGTCGCAAACAGGATGATAGGAAAACGGAACAAGGAAAAACAACTGAAAAAATCAAGAAGAGAAAGAAGACTCAACAGATCCAAAATGGAGGACACCTTCTAGCAGTGCAAACTACAATACTCCATAAAAGGAAAGAAAAAAGCAGTATAGGGGGAACGGACACAAAGGAACCAAGCGAAGTAACGATCGAAACGGAAGAAGCTGGAACCAGAGAAGGTAATCTGGACAAGGGCGATAAAAACGGAGCGTCTTTGCAAGGGAAACTTTCACAAAATCGGACAAATCCTTTGGAGGAAAAAGACTCCATTAAAGAGAACAGTAGAGAAACGTGCAATAATGAAGATGGTAATGCGGAAAGGGGTTCTCCTGAAATGAAACTTCCGCAGAGGAAAACCTCCAAAGCGAAAGGACTTAACAAAGAAGCGGGCAAAGCAGGTAGTCATACAAGCCGCGAAAAGAAGAAAACATGGAAAATTATCACCCCCATCAAAGGTAAATGCGAAGCAGTTGCAAACGGGGAGGAAGCCATCGCGAAAGAAGAAGGACCAATGTTAGGCAGTAGAGAGGAAGAGGCCCCCGTGGACGCAGTAGATGGGTATAAAAAAAAGAAATCCGTGGTGATAAAAGAGGAACCAAAAGGTCGCAAGGGCTGTAGCAAAAAAAAGAGTCCCAGGGGTGAGGAAAAGAAGGAGCGAATAGGGAACACCACGGAGCTTAAACCAGACGTATGTGATGAACATCCCGCAAAAGACGCTGCAGAAAAAGTGGAAATGCCTAATAGTCCGCCTGAGGATGAAAAAGAAAAACTGAAGGATGAAAAAATAAATACAATGGACCCAAATGGAAACGCAATTGATAAGGACAACTATAAAATTCCGGCCTCAGTGATTTATCCCAATGATGCTACAACTGTACCTGTAAATCGTAAAAAAAAAAAAAGCGTGAAAGATCTAGAGCAAAATTCATTACAGTCATCGACAAATGAGAAGAGTGATTCGGTACATGGCGAGACAAAGAAAATTTGGTCAAACTTGGGCTACATAAATTACGTAGATAACTTCGTCGGGAGGGGTTCCTATGGCCACGTCAGGAAGGCTTTATACAACATCGACAAGAACGCAGAGGACTTAAAATTTTACATTGACAAGATAAGTAGTCCAGAATTTGCACACCTGTTAATGGATTGTACAACGCGGAACAACCTCGAAGGCGGTGAGGAAAGAGACGCAGCGGAGCTAGACCCACAGGCGGCCTACAGTAACGCCCCCAGTCTGAAAAGGAGAAGACGACCCAATTCGCTTGCCTTAAATAATGGAAGCCTCCAAGTTAGTGACGCAAAGGAGGTGAGGAGGGGTATCAAGAACGATAGCCAAAATTTGCAGGTGAACAAACCGAAGGAACCCTGCAATATCGAAGGGCCCACTTCAGAAGAACATGAAAAAGAAAACCACTGCCCTTGCTGTGACCGAAAAGGGCACGTCCAGCTAGCCATAAAAGAAATAGACGTTAATCGAAAAGGGAACGAATTTCAATTCGTGAGAGAACAAGAACTCATGTGTCACTTCAACAGCAACGTCATTAAACCTATAAGCACAAAAGATGGAAACTTAAAGGAAAGACGAAATTACGAAATATTAATGCACTGTGCTAATGGTGACTTGAGAAAATTACTTCAAAATTTAATATTCCACAGAAGAAAAGAATTTGAAAAAAGAAAAAAAATTAATAAAATCCTGAAACTGATACATATCATTTTTGGCGAAAAATACAAATGCTACAAAAATGAACATAAAAGGGAGTATACTACTTGTGTAGGTCTATGTTATCAAAAATTGAAAAATCTCAAAATGAAGTTAAATAATGCCGTAGTCGAGGTAGACTTACCCGTACTAGACTTAATATATGACAACATAAAGGTATACAATTGTGGGCTAACCGAATTGGAGTGTAAATTCCTCTTCTTTCAGATAACAAACGGGATTAGCTTTCTCCAGACATGCTACCAATCTAATATAATACGTTTAACAGACATTAAGTTGCAAAACATTTTGGTGTATACAAATGCTGCTAATATTTATAATCCGTTCAAGTGGCATTTGTGCATTTCCGATTTTGGCTGTTCCGCAATGGAATATGCAACTTATCATCTGGAAAATATGAAAGGATACACAGAAAAGTACAAACGTGCTGTTAGCCAGTGGAAGCATCAGTTAATCAATCAGCTCTCTTCCTACTTCCAGGGAACAGTCTACACCATGGCACCTGAAGGGTTATGCTACGACAACAAGGGAAATTTTAGAAATTCAAAATATAACACCTTGATTCATTTTTATGAGCAAAATTTTGGAAACATCGATGTCAGATTTGAAGAACTTCAAGAATCCGTAAGAGGGGCGCTTGGCACTATAGACAAACGTAAAGTGCTTAATATAAACTCGCGTAGAAACTTTGTTTTCAATGATGAGGCGACAACACAAGAGAGGCAAGCAGCACCTGAAGCAAATGCTGATGCTGCTAACAATGCTGAGGGTGAAGTGGAGGAAGAAAAGGATGCACTCAGTGAGAAAGATCTTTCACAAAAGAAAGAGCTACCCTCGCAGAGAGACAACACGGAACGTGCAGGTAAGGAGAAGGGCAAAGGGGAAGCTCAACGGGAAGGGGAAAACGGTCAAAACGGTCAAAACGGTCAGAACGGTCAAAACGACCAAAACGAAAGCAACAAAAAGATCAACAACACCTCAACGGAATACTTCCCCTTCGATGTAAGATGCGACAGCTGGGCCCTAGGCATCATCCTAGCCGATTTAGGGAAATGCGGAATCGGTTCTTACGATTATATAGCATCAGAAAAGTTCAGAGAAAGCTACATTAACTGTATAGCCAAGAACAAACATGTCGACCTAAATAGCATAATACTGGATAACTTGAATTTCTCAAAGGGTGAAGAAGTTTTTTATCTGCAGTGTATAATGCACTACTACGACATTGTCAGCATGGAGTGGGACGATGAGTGTTTAGAGAATGAGGAGCTGAAAATGCGTGGACGCAAAAGGGACCAAGGGGACGGGTCCAAGTGGGGGACCACTACAGACGAGACGGGTGGCAACTCCGGGGGAGGCGCAGTGAAAAACGCAGTGGGAAAAGAAGTGACCAATTTGGAAAACCATCTGAATGGAAACATAGAAAACGACCTGAGCGACAACTCCATCGAGCCAGACATTTCCCAATATGCAGACAAGCGAAGGGGCAAAAGACGCAGCCAGAGGCGCTCACTAGGCAGAAGCAACGGCGCTAAGCATGATTCTAGAGGCGCCAAAGGGATGGAAATCAAACTTGAGGACAATTTAAAAGATTTTTCAAAGGCAAGTAAAAGCAACCCTGGTTTGAAAAATCGTTTAAATGACCCCAGGAATGACGAAGAAAAGAATCACATCCAGAGGAACAATTGGGGACACATGAAGAAAAACAAAAAAGATAGTAACTACAATTTTGAAAACCTAGAATTGTTTACAAACCACTACAAAGAGTTCATCATAAAATACAAAGATCTCATAAAAGGAGAGAAACTTGCATATATAAAATATGATTTTGTGAGATATTATAGGACGAATAAAAATTTGATAACTCCAGAAAATATAGGCAAGAAAATTCTATTCCTCTTTCTAATAATTAATAACAACCTGACGTATAGTTACAATAACGAGTGTCAGTCCTTCTTCAGAAACGAGATAACCATTAAGAACATCGGCTCAGGCATCTTCAGATTTAGGAACAAAAAAGAAAAAGAAAAATATCTCCTAGAGTTTAAAGCGAACTTACAGAAGGAACACATGAATGGAAACAAGGAGTACTGGCATAGTCGATTGACCAATAAATATTTGGCTTATATTTTAAAAGAAGTATGTCATAAAGATTTTTGTGACAGAAAGAAAAATATAAAAAAATGTTACAGCAAATTTGAGTACCCCCTAAATTATAGTGATGACTACTGGAATTTATTGACTGATCTTTTGAATTATGTTCCTTATCAGAGATTACTAGCCTGTGAAGTTATCGGCCACGATTTCTTCTCAGATCAGAGTGAAAAAATTAAAGACATCGCAGCTGCTCCGGAGAATGCTCCTCCGGACAGTGCCGCTCCAGACAGTGCCGTTCCAGATGATGCCCCTCCAGATTTGTTTTCCCAAACGGAACTGATGTATACCATATCGAAGAATTACGTCCAAGAAAAGAAGGAAAACAAATATGTCTGCAATCCTTTTCTGCCGAAAACTGAAGGGGAAGCTGTCACAGAGGCAAGCAGATCCAACATGGGAGATAAATTTCTTCAGTTGCGTTCAAAAAAAGGGATTGCACTCAACTGCGTGGCAAAGTCTGTAGAAAGACAAGTCAGTGCAGGAAGAGAAAAAGAAAGGGAAATGTCAAAAGTGAGTTGGGCCGTGGGAAATGAAAAGAAGGCCCATCAGCAAAAGAAACTTCTGACGTGCCTGTACGACACCATCATCGAACACATGAAAAAGGGGTGCGATTTCTGCAACAACGTAAGGGACTGTCTGAATTACAGAAACATTTTGGAGAAAATCGACAAACTGGAAACACCCCTTTTAACGGTTAACGAGAGGAACCAAAGATGTGTGAGCAGTTCGAAGGGAATAAGTGCACTTATAAGAAGTGCCCCTGTAAGAAGTGAACAATTGGGGCGCCCACGAACCGTCTGCAACAATGTGTATTATTTCCTAAACGAAACGTCCATTTTTGCACAGCTCACAAATCTAGACATATTCATGAAAGCGCACCTACCATTCGAGCATCTGTGCCTGCCCATGTGCGATGAAAAAACGTACACGGAGAAATTACAAGTCAACTTCTTCTTCAAGCCAATGTACTTCTATTCCTTCCCATACAAAATTATACACGCGTGGTATACGGGCCCCCTGCACATCTACTTGGAGCACTCAGGCATTCCTGATTACATCAACTCCATATGTTTAAGAGAATCGTATACTTTAAAAAGGAAAGAAATTCTCTTTTGGGATTGCGAAAATATCGTTATGGAAAGTGCAGTGAAACTTAAGCGGCTACTGAACTGCTCCGATGATTTTCTCTGCACCCCTTATGTGTCCCATTTAATAGGAAAGCATTTGCTAATTAGGAAGCAATTCCTTTTAAAAAATGTTGATAAAAAAGATGACTAATTCTTTCTCCTTTTTTTTTAATTCAAAACTTGCTATTTAATAGCAGTCAATTTTTTTGCGTGTCCCTGATGTTTCATCCTAGCCCTTTATTGAATTTTGAATTTGAAGTTTCGAGTTGGATTTTTCACTTTTTCATTTTTCACTTTTTCAATTTTTAAAAATTGCCCTCTATTTAATGAGCGCTGCGCATTCTGCATTCCCGTTTTGGAAAATTTTTTTTTGCGCAGTTTGCATAAGCGTAAGACACATGTGGGGCGTGCCTCTTTTTGTGCGTTTTTTAGTTTTTTCCCTTTTGTAGTCTTCTTTTATGTATATTTTCCCCTTTTTTTTTAAATGATCCCATTATGTAGTAGTACGTGTAAGTCGTTTTTAATTATCGCATGGGCCCACGCACCGGTCTGCACTTCCGTTCGTGAGCACATGTTCAATGCGTGCATATACACACAGCTCGCAGAGCACACGCATTACGCGCACCCCTTTTAATTCGCGCAGTCTCAGCCGTTTGACTGGCAGTTTGATTAGCAGCTTGATTAGCAGCTTAAATCGCACTTTCGCGAATAGTATTTCTCTCCCCCCTCTTTTTTGTGCACAATGTGATACATTTTTACATGACTTTGGTTATGATCCCCAAAGTAGTAGTTAAAACTTCTTAACATTATGAAGTGTTAAAATTTTTTAACAAAAAATAATGCCACAAAAAAAAAAAAAAACAAAAAAACAGTCGAGGGGCAAAAAATCGCTTCCATGTTTTGGTAAATAGCTTCACATAAAGGTTTCCGAAGTTTCGCTTAAAATCGCGTCTTTTGTAAAGGATATAGACTTCCTTTTTCAGTCAATCTTTTCTGCATTTTTTGACAAAGCGACGGTATTGTGCATTGTAGAAATGTCCACATGTTCAAGTCGCGAAATAAATATCACTTCCCGAGCGTATTCATACTATTCTTTCCTCTAGCGGGGGTATACACCTTTTTAAGCTCTCCGCAAAGGGCAGAAGCGGGTGAAGCACAAACTTGTCTTACCAATTATTATTCAAAGCGAATTCGCATTTTCGAAAGGGAAGGGGATTTATAGCGGAATGTGTCGGGCACCTGCCTTCTTCCCTTCGCTGCATTGATACATGGCTATTTGGCTATTTTTTTTTTTTTTCTTTCATTATGACCTTAACCTTCAGGCAAAAAATTGCCTTGTTTAACACGCCACGAATGAGGCTAGGCGAAATGCTTCAAAAGGGAGAAAAAGAGATTTATGTGAAAAGAATGCATTCAGTTTTATTCCACAATTGTAGCGTCTAATTTGTCTTTTTTTTTTTATTTCCAAGTCTAACTTGAGATAAAATCTGCATGAAAATGTCAAAAAGATGAGCGCAAAAAATATTGAGATTAAGCAGAATGTTTTTTTGTCGAACATTTTTTGCGACTCGGACAATTTGAAGGTAACAAAAAAGGGGGGCATACACCATCGCGGCAGGGAGATGGTCATATTTGTGTGAAGATACATGTGTGTAACTTTTCGCCAAGTGAAAATGCCAAGGGAAGGGAGACATAAAGATCGTTATAAGGGGTGCAGCCAGGATGGCAGAAATTAATCACACGTGTTAGTGCGGAACACTTTCGTCAGCTGCCCCTCTTTACCCTTTGGGCATTCCTAAAAAGAAACAATGTGCACATGCAAATTGGAACTTCCCACCCGCAACGGCAGAATTTAATGAGGAGCAGCCCTAAGAAAAGGGCCAGGGAAAAGGACAAAGAAAAGAATTACTTGTCGGCCCAGAACTTCTGCTACGACAGGGAGGACGATGAAGGTGAGCCCAAAGGGAAAGGCAGCAGATGGGTGTTAGGCATATTTGGTAGCTAGGCAGATAAGTAGACAGACAGGTAGATAGGCGCAGGAGGCGCAAAATAGGCATCTCATGGAAGGCAGCTGATGGGAGATACCCGATGGAGTCACTGCGCCCCTGTGTGCACCTTCACGTGTCCACCTTCACGTGTGCACCTCCGCATGTGTACCTCCCCATGTGAATTTCCAAATCCACCCCAACGCAGACATCTTCAAGGTGGAAGAAATTTACGACCGGGACTTCTCCTCGAAGGAAAAAAAATGCAAGCTCTTTGTGCCGTTCAAAAACAAACGGGAAAGGGAGCCCAGATTTATCACCATAGAAAAGATAAAGAAGAAATATAAAAGCATCAATATATACGATGCGCTAAATGACAAAGTGAGACTCCTCGATTCGGAGGAAGCTAATTACAAATGGAAGGACATACTAAACTATGAGGACTCTTCTTTCGATATATTCACGATAGACGAAATAGTGAAGGAGCTCAAGGAGGAGGAAATTCCAGAGGACCAAATAGGCGAGAAGAGCCAAAAAGTAGAAAAAAACAAGTCAGCAAAGGAGTTAAATCATGAAAATTTAAACAAAAAAGAAAGGAACATCGTTCCGTTTAAGGCGAAAGGAGTTATCTCAAAACAGAAGAACATATTTCAAAGTGTCTTTGACGACATATACATTTATGATTATAATTATGAGTCCAACTTGTTTAGGGTAAAGAAAAAAACATCGAACGAATTTTTCGAAATTCATCGAATGCAGTTTTTTTTTACTAGCGAAAATCCAATACTGTACGCAGAGAAAATTTTTAACGCCATTAAAAACAGATCTACCAGCTTGAAGAGAAAGCTGTACTTTGCAGAAATTGACAACAAGTTTGCGCACTTCAATTGTATACTGAACGATGTCCACGAAATTGCAGAAAATAATTCAATCATAAAGAATGCCACTGATGTGCAATCTATTGCGAGCAATCTGAACTCTTTTTGTAATGTATGGCTAGGCAGAAGAATTTGCAGCAATGAATTTTTTAACTTTCCCAAGCAGTTATACAGAGCTAAGAAGGAAATAAAATACTACAACTACGATTTCGAGAACAAGAAGAATATCATTAAGCAGTGTGTGTTGCTGGAGAATAAGAAAGTCATTAGGACTTTTTTGGGCATTATAAACAAGTGTGCCTTGATTAAGATATCCATATTTGACACCACCATTTCGAGCCCCTACGAGATGAACGACTTTTTCCAGGCGCAGAACGCGTCCGTTTTGAAGGTACGCGGGGGGCAGAGATGGAAAGACGGATAGAGATAGAGAAAGAATGAGAGAGAGAGCGACACAGAGAGAGAGACAAAATAAAAAAAGGGGAGTGCCCAAAAAGGCGAGGCGAAATTGATGAAACACGACTTCTGCAGGGTGGCTGAACGGGGAACCCCGTATGTATGCGTCATACGTGGCTTCGTATGCACGATACGTGGCTTAGTACACACCATACTCAGCTTAGTATGAGCTACACGCAGCTTAGTATGCGCCATACGCAGCTTGATATGCAGCTCATTCCCACCTGCTTGCCAACTTTGTGCTCCCTCCCCCCCGCCGCGCAGTCCTTCGAACGCGTGAACAGCTCCTGGATGAACGACATGAAGACGATCATCGAGGAGAACCTGAAGAATTGCACTAAGGGCAATTACAACCTTAAGGACATCTCCACGGAAACGTTTAAATACACTAAGATAAGGATCTTCTTCAACATACTCAAGTTGATCATCGAAAGGAGAATAAACGAAATGCTGATTAGCAACATGGACGAGTTTGTAAACATGTTCGTGCAAAACATGATAAGCTGCAAGAAAAACAAAAATTACATGCCCATATTCGTAATTAACGTAACCAAGAAATTTGACTACTCCAGATTTATTCTAGACAACACTCCCCTCTCCTTCTTCGAAAAGTTGGAAGATCTGATATATTCGACCCTCATAAAATATCAGCAGATAGAAAAAATAGAAAAGTTAGTAATCCCACAGGTATTCAAAAATGACAAATTCATTTTCTACAAATCTATCAAAGAAAGTGACCAATTTATATGTGAAAAATTACTACACATAAAACACATTTTTCACGAATCAAAAAATATGATAGATAACTATTTATCAAAAATTAACAAGCATGCTGACATTCTGAATTTCAATGTTAATGAGGCCATCCGAAATATTGATATCAATACGAGTGTAGAGCATATTCAAAATATCATTTACAAGAATCTTGAGAAGATACAGAACATTAATGATACCATCGAGGATAATATCAACTTGGGCATCTTTCTCGTCAAATGCAAAGATATCAAGCTTTTTATCATAAATGAGATTAATAATTATATCAAGGCTTTGACCAACATCATTGTCCAGCGGTTAGTTTTTTTAGAGAATTTTTTTCGAATTTTTTGCAATTTTTTGCAATTTTTTTGCAATTTTTTGCAACTTCGGTTGAGTAGTTTTCATTTGTGGGTGGGGTCAGAAAAAGACTCCCATTTGGGATGCACCCCCCTGCGACACCACGTCCGCAACCGTGTCCGCAACCGTGTCCGCAACTGTGTCCGCAACTGTGTCCGCAACTGCTTCTCTCTTCCACACCGCAGATACAAAGAGAAATACACGTCGAACCTCATGTTCTACAACTCCATCATCGTGAGGCTGAAAAAAAAGACGAACAAAATTCAAGACATCTACGAAAAGGAGGAGTATATAAAAGACATGAAGAAGAGCCTTGACTTCATCTCCCACGACATCAAAGAAATCAACGTCCTATTTAACTGCCTGAACAAGCTGAACTACAAATTTTCCAACGATGATTATTTGTCCTACTGGAAAATAGTAAACCGGCCCAGCAAGATCGAAAAAATTGTCAAGGAAGTTAACCAACACATAGTTAAGCAGAAAAATATTCTCCTCGAAGAACTCATAAATGACGAATCCAAGTTCCAGAGCAGCATTGTTGAGATGAAGGAAAATGTGCAATCGATTAGAAGCTTCAACGACGAGAGCAACTATCTCAGCATTAACAAGTTTATTCTGACCGTCCAGAATCAGCTAGCCGTTCTCATCAAAGAGTCCAAGGAAATAAATTACAGGGAGAAACTCTTCAACATTGAAATATCCGATTTTTCCATCCTTCCCAAGATTCAAAATGTGAGGCCTGGGTAGAGGCATAGGAAGAGGGAGAGACGTAGGCATGGGAAGAGGCATAGGAAGAGGGAGACACATAGGCATGGGAAGAGGCATAGACAGAGGGCGTGGAAGAGCGTCTGCCCCGAAGCGCCTCTCCTACGTAGTTCCAATGAAGCGACAGACATTATGTTGCACCTTATTAGATTGACCTTCCCTAAAAGCCACATGATATAATGTTAAAAAACCCGCTGCATCCGCTTCTTCACCTGCACCCGCTTGTTCACCTACTCAGGAACTAAACCTGTATTACACCTTTTGGATCATATACAAAAGCATAAAATCGATGGACGAGCGGTTCGACAAAAAAATAAACTCTCTTAACCACAAAAAAATAGAAGACGACTTTAACTTGATTCTGAAAAATATGAACAAAATTAACAAACACGCTAATGAGTACTACAAAAACAAGAATGGGCTAATCAAAAAGATGAACGAGAAGTTGACCTTCTTCAACTCATACGTGTCTCTGTTAATTTCGTTGAGGAAGCCAAGCATAAAGGAGAGGCACAAGGAGCAGGTACGACCCCGAACAGCTCCCGGGTTATACTCATAGTGTATACACTCCGCGTGAGGAAGGCGCGGATACCAGAATGTACCGTAAAGGGCCTCGTCCTTATTCACTCCCAAACTGATCTGTACATTCTTTCCACTACCCCAGATTGCCCAAATTATTGATGAGAAGAACAACATCGACTTCAACACGATCACATTTAACGATCTCCTCAAGCTGAACATAAACAATAAAATAACGAGCATCATTAACATTTGTGAGAAGGCCAATAAAGAGAATGCCATCGAGAAGGTAAGGCGGGAGAAGTGCATACCGAAATGGGGAACCGTGTGAGGGGGTATATGACAAAAGGGAGAGAAGAGCCTCCCCCTTTTTTGCCCCGTCTAAGAGGAGACGCAGACCTTTTCACGTTGTCCTTTTGTACACATACACATTTACGTGTAAAAAACCTTTTTTTTCCTTCGGGGTTTCCGATGCTATATACCCCCCTTTTCTTTTCCCTCCCAGTTTTTGGGTAAGATAAAAAACAACTTCAGCAAAATCGAGTTCCAAATGAAGCAAGAGGAGAATAACAAAATCTGGATCATCTCCAATATGAACGAAATTTTGACCAAGATAGAGGAAAATCTGGTGATGAATCAAAATCTGCTCATAATAAACATCTACGAGATTTATCACATCGACATAATTAACAATCAGAACATGATGATGAACGCGAACAACATTATTCACACCTTGAAGAAGAGTCAGAATCTGTTTCTGTACCTGAGTCGGATCTTCGTGCTGACGGACATTTCGAAGCAGCTGGCGAACGAGTCCAAAAAGTGGGCACCGAGAGGGGAGTTAGCGGCGGTGCGCTCACGGCGGTGCGCCCGGTTGTTCCGTCGTTAACTGGAATTTTGTTCTTATATTTCCACTTTTTCCACTTTTTCACATTTTTCCTTCTTCGTATTTTCCCCCTTTCCGCTGCCGCGACAGGTACAAGCTCATCTACAGCAACTTCCTCAACCTGTGCAAGCTCATAGAGGAAGACAAGAAGCTGGAGAAGTTCTGTGCCAGGAAGGACACCAAGGAGAAGCTAGCTGAGCTCTACAGTAACCTAAGCCTTCTCCTAAAAAGCATCAATGAGTACCTAGACCTCAAAAGGGAGATCTTCAACCGATTCTACTTCCTCAGCACAGACGATCTGATTAATTTGATCTCGTCCAATATCAATGACCAAATAAACACCTACCTTTTTAAAATTTTTAATAGCATTTACAAGCTGGTGATCGTGAATGGACACATCGTGGCGTTTCAGTCCCAGAGGGGAGAGGAACTCCTTCTCTGCAACGAAATTGAAATTGAAAAAAAAGAGATCACGGAAATCCTGGTGGAGGTGGAGAAGGAGATGTTCTTCAGCGTGAAGAAACAAATCTATGACAACATTCTGGAGTATAAAAATTTGATGGACATAAAGGAGGATGACTTCCTCAAGAGCAACAATGACATTAAGAGTTACTCTAAGTGTAAGTCGTATGACTACAACTCGGGAGACTCCGTGAGCAGTTTTTCGTCCAGCGGGAGCATGGCCGATGAGGGGGAGGAGCCGCGCGACGGGGGGGGTGCCCAAAACGGGACAGTTACCCACAACGGGAGAGCCGCCCAAAATGGGGGTGTACCGCTTGATTCGCCCCCCGGGGAGTCCCCTTCATCCGCCATCCTCCCCTCGGTGAACAAAAAGGTCCTCTTCTCCCTGAACAAGAACAGCCAATTCGTACTGATCATAAAGAATCTCTTCTGGTCGAACCTCGTAGAACTATTTCTAAAATACAACAACCTGAGTAAATACAAAAAAATCTTGAATGAAGAGTTATACGAATATATTAACATAATTAACAAAGTAGACAAGAAGAAGAGCGTCCTCTTACACACTCTCATCATATCGCTAGTTCACAACAGAGACATAGTACAGGAGTTAATAAAAAAGAGAGTCAATGATGTGAATAACTTCAATTGGTTAATACAGCTCAAGTATTTCTACTACAACAAAAATTTGTACATCAAATATCTGAACGAGTCTTATATATATGGTTACGAATACATCCACAATGACAATAAGATTATCCTCACCAGTTTGATAAATAAATACTTCATATCGATTTTACATTCTTATAGCTCGAAGTTGGGTGTATGTTCTGTGGGGTTGGCTGGAACAGGGAAGACAGAGACGACAAAGTATTTCTCCAAATTCGTTGGGAAGTTCTACTTCGTCTACAACTGCAGTTGTAATATCAACTTTGACTTTCTGAAAAATTTATTCTTTGGAATTGCCACGAATGGCATATTTTTCTGCTTCGACGAATTTAACAGAATAAGTATAGAGGCCCTCAGCGTGCTGGCACAGCAGCTGTGTAATTTGTTCAGTGCCAAGTCGAGGAAGTTCACCCGGAGTGGCATCCATCGTGGTGGCAGCTTTGCGCAGATTACACACCCAGGGGGTAGTGACGTGGGGCGGGACACTGCCGAGGAGGTAGGTGAAGAATCTCCTATTGAAGGACACACTGGCGGGTGCATCTCCCAACAAAGGGGACCACTCGGGGGGGGAACACACCTAACTGGGAATACCCACCTTTCTGGGAAACCCCACGCTGCTGGCCGAACCCACGTGAGCAAAAAAAACATGCTCTTCTTCGAAGGGAAGTACATAAAAATCAACGAAGAGTTTAACATTTTTATCATCATAAACCCATTTTACAAAGGAAGGAGTGAACTACCAAATAACATTAAGGCCCTGTTCCGTTTTTTCCACTTTATTAAGCCCGACTTTTTCACCATCGTGGAGGTAATGCTCTACTCCAAGGGGTACAAATACAGTAAGGTCTTGTCAAAAAAGATTATCCTCCTCTTCGAACTATGTGAGCATAATTTAAGCCCCCAGAAACATTACAAATATGACCTGAGAACGGTGAAGAAGATAACCTACGTCATGGGGAAAATCATCGTCGACAAGGACAACAACAATCATAACAAGAACATTTTCTATGAGTACAAATTTCTCTTCATCGCTATTATCGAGTGTATAATGCCCTCCATCGTCCGAAATGACATTTATATCTTCCTCACCATTATGAAGAACATCTTCTATGAGCTCTACGCTTATAATCAGTCTCTCAATCCGTCCGGCAAGACCTGCGGCGCCATCGACTTGAAGTGCATCCTGTCCAGCAAGAGGAACAACGACAATAGTATACTCATGTATTTGAAGAGTTTTTATTGCAATATGATGAGCGACCCGGGCGAGAGAGGCGCCAGGGATGGCAGGGACGGCGGCGAAAACGGCAATGACGCAGAGAAGAACGATCAGGCCGAGCAGCACCATGACGGTGATAAGCATCAGGGGAAGGGGGAGCAACCCCAGATTCGGGACGGCTCAGCAGACAACACGAAAGGAGACGCCAGAGACGAATGGAGAGACCACACGAAAAACCGCCAACAGGGCCATTCCGAAATGGCCGCCCCCACCCGCACGTGCAAAAAGGACAACCGAAATTCCCCAAAGATCGGCGTGGAGATGTTACCCGATGAAGGGAAGGGACCAGCCAAGGAAGACAATCATCAAGGCAGCAAACTATTTCTAAGCAAAAAAGAAATCGTGGAAGATTATCTAAAAAAAATGTTAAAAAAGAAGATGCTAGAGTTGAATTACGTAGGCACAGACAGGTACGTCAGCAAACTTATTCAGTTGTACAATATGATAAAATTTCACACGGGCATTCTCTTCCTCTCATACCCACTCTCCAAAACGACATCGTATAAAATTTTGAGCAGAACCATAAACACCATCAACGATAGGGAGATAATAAAAAGAAAAATGAATGACTATGTTATAAATGCCAACGTGGTACGGGAGATGGACATGCTGGGTTTTTATGAAGAGGTTTCAAATAAATGGGTTCATGGAATATTAACAAAAAAAATAATAGAGATAAATTCTACCTTCAATAGGAGTGATTACCTTAACATTATTTACTTTGATTGTTATTTGCATTCCTTGTGGATAGAGAATCTTAATTCCGTTTTGGATGAATCAAAAATTCTGTGCTTGTCCAAATGTGACATCATCCCAATTTATGATCATACTCGCTTTATAATGGAGACGTATGACTTGAAAGACATCACTATGGCCACAGTAAGCCGATGCGGATTGATCATTTTAAATAACTACGATTTAGATATCGCCTCTTACATCTGTTCGTATGTAAACTCACTGACAACCAATTTCGATGCCATTCATAAGCACATTTTGATAAATCTATTTATCGTCTTTTTTTACCAATCTCTCCTCTTCATCAGTATCAACAACTTATTTGTGTATACATTTAATGAGTACTATTATTGCATTTCTTTTATTAAATGTATTGATAGCTTATTTTCCTACTGCTCCTTCGAGATTAATGACTCCAGTAAGAATGAGAGTTACCAGAAATACATCACATCTATCTTTGTCTATTCTTTGATCTGGAGTGTGGGTTCTAATACGTACAAAAGGGGCCGAAAAATCTTTAACGATTTCCTTTGCAAGCAAATTGTGAGGCATAATTTGAAGTTAACGTTTGAGACCCTCGACGGGAGGCTGATAGATGTTCGTCAGTTTAAAGAGAGCAGCGGGCCGGACGCGGCGGAGACCATTGATAGGGACAGCATCTTGGCTACTTCGATCAGCGGCGTGGTCAAGCAGCAGGCGGAGGAGACACCCCTTATCAGTGGAGCAGGCAACCAGGAGGAGGAAACCCCCCTTATCAGCGCCAACGCGGAGGATGTTTGCAGTGATTACGAAGGGGACTGCCAATCCCACAGCAGCGATTGCGCAAGTGACTTCCAATCCCTCAGCAGCGACGCCCCCTCGGATGTCGACATCTACAACGACCGGAACGATCCCATCGAGCGTCACTACGAAAACGTTAATAGCATGTACGACTACTACCTGCGTACCACTCGCAAGTGCAGGAATCTCTTCAAGAGCTACGACCCGCGTCTGGGGGAGGGCGAGCACGGGTGGCTCTCTGGCAAGTGCTACGGGAACTGCAGCTCCGACTCGAACTCGAGCAACGACGAGAGGTACTTGAAGCGGCGGGGAGGGCGCAGAAAGAAGAAGTACCTTAACGAGCACGCCTCGGGTAGCTTGGACGACGTGCTGCAGAGCGTGAGTTACTACAACGATGTGTACGGCCTGGCGGGGGGGTGTAGCGGTGTTAAGCGAAGCGGTGTTAAGCGAAGCGGTGGTAGGGGAGGCAGCGATGGACAAAGCGGTGGTAGACAAAACACTAAACCCGATGGACGTGCCGACAATCGTCCCCCCTCCACCTCTCTGCACATCTCCCACCTGGATGAGTCCCCCAAAGGGAGAACCAGAACAGCCAAGCCCCGCGCAGAAGCGGAGCTCAGGATAAACCTGTTCGATTTTTACTTCAAATATGAGAAAAACGTGATGAGCCACCTAAACAACAAAGAGAATAAGTTTACCCTGATGGACGAATGCCTCAGCAACACAGATATCATGATAAAACAGAAGAAACACTTGTCGATGCTTTACAATATAGATATCTTCATGAAAAATAAAAAGAGCATTATCATATCTGGTTGTAGTAACATAGGGAAAACGCTAACTGTAGATTACTACCTAAACAAGGTGATGTCAAAGGATAAGTTTTTCACCGTCGATTTTTATTTTTCGTATAGCACCACAAGTAACCACGTGAGGAATTACATCGAGTCTAAGTTGACCAGACGGAGAAGTAACTTCTATGGAACGACGAACAACAGGATCTGCGTCTTCTACATTGACGACATAAACATAGAAACGGAAGTGGGTTCAATACAGAGGAGTCACTACTTATCCTCTCATGAGTTTCTACGCATGCTGTTTAATTATAAATTTTTTATCGATAAAAATTTAGGGGTAAAATACGTCGAAGATTTGACCTGTCTAGCGACGATGAACAATGCGTATACCAACACAACACATAGTTCAAGATTGTACAACAATTTTAACATTATCTATTACAATAACTATAACTATAAGGAAATTTTTGATATTTTTTTCTGCAATTTGAGGAACATGTTTAGCATTTACGATATTAATATAAAAAGTCTGGCTAGGAACTTGGTGGAGATGCAGATAGATATATATAAGGAAGTGAAATCAATGAAACAGAGTTACTACCTCTACAATGTGGAAGATCGAGAGGGAAAGGAAATCTTCCTACACTCTTTTAACATAAATAATATGAGAGATATATACAAATGTGTGCATTATTTGTCCAAAAATATCAACCTCAGGAAGGAACAAATGCTTCTATACTTTCTGTACGAAAATAAAGCCCTTTATGAGGAAAGTTTTTTCTCGAAAGATGCGAAAAAGAAATGTAACCAAATTGTTAAGACAAATTTTAGAAAATACTTCCCTCAGGAGGAGTATGAGAAAGTTGCCAGTCAGTATGATAATGGACTCCTCTTTTGTAATTTCCTCAATTTGTATCAAAATGTGTACGAGCAGGTCTCCGATTTTAACGACCTCTACAACTGTGTGTACGGATATATATCCGAATACAGCAACAGTGAGAAGATTAATATAATCTTATTCGATAATGTCCTCATTTATATCTGCAAGATAACCAAAACGTTTATGACTGAGAATTCGCATATCCTCTGTATCGGCATTAACGACGCGGTGAAGAGGAAGGTAAACAAAATCTGTGCATTCATAATTAACAAGACGCTTGTCGTGTCGGAGCTGAACAAGAATAGTAAGGCTTCCCAATTTGTAGAAGAAATCAAGAGATGCCTCTTCGATTGCGGAATTTATGAAAAACAGTGTGTCTACTATCTCAATGATGAAAATAGCAGCTTCCATTTTGTCCTGGAAAATCTGAATAACATTTATAATTACGGAGACAGCTATCTCCTCTACAATGAGGACAACTTAAAGAAGATATACAGTGAGTGTAAGAATAAATGTGAGGAGGAGCACGTCGTTAGGAATTTGACCAACATTTACAGCATTTACAAGAAAACCATTCGAAAGTGCTTTCACGTCAGTCTGAACATCTCGGCCGGAAGCTCCGACGCTATTCTGAAGTTCCCGTACATCCTCAAAAACTCCCGCATCATCTACTTCGAGGAGGACAACAACGAGGGGCTCCACGTCATCACAAAGAATTTTTTCACAAAGGGGGAGGGGCCAACCAGGAGCGTAGAGAAGTCGGTTAAGACGATAGGAGATCCAACTGGGGTGATAGACAACGCTGCTAAAACGATAGACGCCGCCGCTAACACGATAGACAACGCTGCTAAAACGGTAGATACCGCCGCTAACACGATAGACGACCCCACTTCCTCTATCGCTACCGCTTCTCGCGCCGCCCCCCCGCGGACGCTGGCCTCCATCGACCTAGAGGTGGTGAACCCGCACCAGGATCTCAAGTGTCTCGAAGGAGTCGTCCAGGACAAGGTGTTCATCCGCATCCACAAGGAAGTGATTCACTTGGCGAAGAAGTATCAAGAGGAGAAGCAGGTCCACGTCTGCGTAAACTCAAACAAGTATGTCCACTTTCTCCATTACTTTGACTACTTTTACAACGTGAAGCGGAAAGAATTCGACATCAACATTGACCTCTACAGAAAGGCACTGAATAAATTGCACAAATGCGAGCAGGACATCAAAACGATGAAGAATTACCTTCTAAATATGCAACCAGTGCTTAACAGTACAAACATAGAAATGAAGAAAAAGGTAAATGAAATGGAGAGACAGTCCAAAGAGGCATACATCAAACAGACAGAAATCAAAAAAAAAGAATGCGAAATGAAGACAAAGATAAAAAACATAACACATTTAAAAAATGAAGTCAACGAAGAAATAACAAAAAGTTTTGCTCTCCTTAATGAATCCCTAAACAATTTAAACAAATTGAAAGTAGAACACCTCAGAGAGTTAAAAGCCTTTGTTAACCCCCCCTCCATTGTCGTCATGGTTATGCAGTGCATCTTAACATTTTTAAAGGAAGACGAAAAATACCTGCAAGGGAAGTTAATCAGACCAAAAACGCTCAATTATTGGATCTTAGCACAGAAAACGATCTTTAGAGACTCCAAGGTATTTCTGGACAATTTGAAGAATTACGATAAGAATCTAATTGAAGAAGAAATGATCACAAAGATTTCTCCACTCATTAAGAATAAAAATTTTAACCCCAAGTTTGTGAGAAAAGCGTCTAAGGCATGCGAAACGATGTGTCAATGGATCCTCGCCATTTACCACTACTTTATCATTAACAAGGAGCTGAAACCGAAGAAGGAGGAAGTCATGACTTTAGAAAACGAAATAAACAAAGAACTCACCTACCTCGATGCATGCAAAGAAGAGCTAAATATAGTCAACAATAATCTGTGTACCATAGAGAAGGAGAAAGAGGAAATTACCATCAAACAGAAGCAACTTGTGGACAAAATAGAAAACATCAAACAAAGAATTCAAAGATCCAAAATGATCCTGTCCTGTCTTCTGGAGCAAGAAATCAAATGGAACAAGAAAAAAAAAAACTTAAAAAAAAAAAGGGATCTACTGATTGGAGACTGCATCATCGTGTCATCCCTCATCAATTACATGTCTTACTTTCCATACGAGTACCGCAAAGTCATTAAGTTAAAAGTGAAGGAAATTCTAAGAAGGCACCACATTAAACATACCAAGGATATCTCCATCTATACCTTCCTGGAGTCCAAAATTAACATAGAGAAGTGGGTCTCCTATGGACTCACCAACAGCAGGTTCTACTTCGAAAACATCGTCATCATGAATAACAGCATTAAGTACAACTTGCTCATCGACCCGCATTTCATCGTCACCAACTTTCTGAAAAAAATGTACCATAAGAACAGGGACGTAGAGGTCCTGCGAAATAATAGCTCCAACTTTGTAGACAAAATAGAAAGGGGCATGCATCTGGGGAACGTTATCCTTTTCACGCATTATGACGACGACTCCAGTGTTCTGTTCAACGCGCTATTTAATTACAAAATTGCCAAAACTCTCCTCAGCTTTGGACGCGAGCGGGCGGGTACCAACACCAACCAGGCTGCGCGGAACCGCGAATCCGTTTCGGACGAGGATCCCCCCCAGGGAAGGGGAAAAGCATCAGAGAAAGCGGCGACACAACAGGGAGTAAACGCATCAGAGAAAGTGGCGGCACAACAGGGAGTAAACGCATCAGAGAAAGCGGCGGCATCGGAGGGGATGGACGCATCAGATAAAGCGGCGAATTCAGAGCGGGTGCACACATCCGACAAAGCGACAGCACCCCCAGTGAGCGGCACGCTGACCCAAAACAACTGCGTCAATTTCAACAACAAAATCATCACCGTGGACAGCGCCTTCAACATTTACTTCATCGTGTACGGAAGCACCCAATTCAACGACAACACGCAAAATCACCTCAACGTAATCGATTTCAACATAAACCTAGACATACTGGAAGAGTATTTCCTGACAAATCTCATCGATAAGCTCTTCCGAGCAACCAATGAAAATAGAACCGCACTCATTCATCAGATACACGACCTGAACAAACAGATGGTAAATCAAGAAGAAGAAATCCTACACATATTAAATTACAAGGAAGACATTCTAAGTGATGACGATATTGTCATCAGCTTCGAGAGCGCCAACAAGATATTCTTAAAAAATAAAAAAAAAATGAAAGAATACAAAATGAATAAGTTAGAAATTGCCAAAATTAGAAAAAATTATATGAGCATGTCAGAGCACATCTCCGTTATTTATCACTGCATTAATAACTTAGTGACTTTGAATCCGATGTATAATTTTTCCATTTTATCCTTTGTGCAACTCCTAAATATCAGCATTGACAAATCGGAGGAGAACAAACTGCTCGATAAAAGAAAAAAAGACATACTAAATATCTTCACGAGGAAAATCCACTACGAGATTTCTAGGACCCTCTCTGAGAAGCACCAACAGATTTTTTTTTTCTACCTTGTGTGCATGATAAATATATACAAGGGTGAGATAGAATACGACGATTATTACTTCCTCGTGTATGATGATTACCCCAAGGGGGATGACATTCGCAATGAAGTCTTCCGAAAGGTGAAATCTAAGCGGAACGATAAGCCAAATGTTGACAAAGTTTTGCAAAACAGCACTGTAGTGGTAGTGGATTCCTCTTCCATTTCGAAGCAACCATGTGACGGGGGCAAAGGGGAAGAACTCGTCACTTCGGACGACGAAATGGATGAGCTCAGCGAGGAGGAGGACCTCCAGACGGTTGGAGACGACGTATCCATTCACAGCCTCGAGTCGGATGGATGCGACCCGCAGGCAACGGAGGAAGGTTCCAGTAATTCCCAGGCTATCGCCACTCAGAGGACAAGGGGAGATCCCAATGCAGAAATGAATGCTAACCATCTGGTGAGCGTCACCCTGGAGGAGTACCTCCTACTCCCCAAGAGGAGCGAAAAGGACGACTTTTTGAATTCCTGCGAGGGGAATGTGCTGCTCCAGGGCGGGGGCACAGAGGAGGGGCGTCCCACTGGTGGGGGTGTCACTGGTGGAGGTGCCACTGATGGATGTACCTCCAACGGAGGGGAGGCCCAATTCACCTTCAACTTCGAAACGAAAAACCTGTCCTGGCTAAGCGCCAAGGAGTACCTTAGCGTGAAGAAGCTAATCAGGAAGGAAAAATATTTTCTCTTCTTTAAAAAGGCCTTCAACGAGTATGAACATCTATTCAGGAGCATCAAGACAGACCACACGATATTGCAACACAAGGATTTAAAGCATCTGCTAACAGACTTCGAAAAATTAATTATTTTTAAAATTTTCCGCTTTGACATTCTCAAACTTAACATGAACAATTATGTAGATGCGTGTCTGAAGATCGGATCTCAGAGCTACGCGAAGGATCTCTACAAATGCTACGAACACTCGTCCCAGAATAAATTGATCCTCATTTTGTCTGAAAACCGGCTAAGCACAGCTAGCGAAATTATGATACTGAATGAAAAGATTACTGGAAAGAATAATCTAATCATTTATAACAAAAACGACAAAAACTACCTGTTGCAGATCTTAAATGATTCCATTAAAAATGGGTTCTGGGTACTAATCGAGAATGCTCACCTGAATATCCATCTCATTCTGGAGATTGAAAAATATATCGAAGCCTGCAACATCCAGTACTCCAATCCAGATTTCAGAATCTGGATCAGCACCAGCTCGGTGAAGTCCTTCCCTGACTACCTCCTCAAGCTCTGTGTGAAGATCACCTTCGAGAATGTCCACAATTTGAAGTCGGGGTTGCTCAACATTTACACCAACTTCGCGCAGGAGGAGGAGGAGGAAGAAGAGGAGGACGAAGCGGAGGAGGAAGAAGAGGAGGACGAAGCAGAGGAGGAAGAAGGGGAAGACGATGAGGAAGACGAAGCGAATGATGAGGAAGACGAAGCGGATGATGAGGAAGCGGAGGATGACGAGGCGAATCGCCTACCGTCCGATCCGCACGGTGGACGGCTCCCCCGATGCGGAACCCCGCGCAAAGGCGTCGTCGACGTTGGCACCAAGTGGGGCCAAGGGGATAACTCAGAAGGGCCCCCGAGCGGAGGAACGGAAAAAAGGAATAAGAATCTACCTAGGGGAGGAAACGAAAGGAGCGAAAAGAGGAAGCAAAAAAGCGGCCAACAGAGGCCCCAAAAGAGGCCTCAAAAAAGGAGCGAAAACGAAAACATCCTGATGAACAAACTACACTTCAGCCTCTGCTTCTTCCACGCACTCATACAAGAGAGAAGCAAATTCAAGAGCAAAGCATTTAATAACTGTTACGAGTTCACCGACATCGATCTCAAGTTGTCCAAGGAAAACATCATCAAATTTTTTAGAAACAAAAATATAGACATAAATCTATTGCTCTACCTTATTGGAAATATTATCTACGGTGGTACCATAATAGACGTAACGGACCAGAGATGCTTTAACATCATTCTCAACAAATACATAAATGAGAAGGTCATTTACTCCAACAATGAATACAAATATAACAGCTACTACTACTGTCCTCACAGTTCAAATAAGAACCTTTTTCTAAGGTATGTTAAGTCCTTAAATTTTATAACCGATTTTTCTATTTTCAATTTACACCCCTCTCTGAATACACTATATCTGCAAAATTATAATTTAAAAATCTTGAAGAATCTGGAGAAGCTAGAATACAATGTAACGAAGGACAAGTCAGAGATGCATATCTTCTCCATCATTCATGTCTTGACCCAGCTCCTTCCTCCATTCATAGATGCCAACAAGCTAAACGAATTCTTTGTGAATAACTTAAACTGCTCTATCATTACCTTCCTCAAAATGGAAACAGACAAATATAACAATCTCCTAAGGACCATATATGATGACTTAACCAAAATAATTAACTTTGTCAAGGGGAGAATGAATTTTACTAAAATCTGTCCCACTTACAATTCGCTTTCTAATTTGTGTGTCCCGAAGAGATGGATTGCCTGTTCCTTTTTTACCAATTTGCAGCTTTTTCACTACGCTAAGTTGATTAGCCGGAAGGTTTCCTACCTTAACAGATACATCGCCCATTTGGATAATCGCGTCTTCAACTTGGCCGCCTTCATGTCCCCGAGGGTGGGTTCTCCAGGGAATAGCAGTTAATTGGCTGTTAAGAGGCTGCTAAGCGGCTGCTAAGCGGCCCCTTTTGCCCTCCGCTTTGTAACCTTATAGCCTATTCACCCCCACGCGACACTTTTGCCCTAACGATTCACCTCGCCGCTTCCCCTCCACGCAGAGCCTCATGCTGGCCATCCGCCAAAAGATGTGCACCGAAGCGAAGATCGACGCCAACAACGTCAAGCTCAAGTACGAAATTTCCCCTTACTTCAACGAGGAAGACATCAAGGAGGACGGCTACTTCGTGGGTGGACTCTTCATCGAGGGCGCCATGTTTGACGCCACAAACATGCTCATAAAGGAGTCAACAAGAAAGTACCTCTACTGCCCCATGCCCTACATCAAGGTGTACTTCCTCACCAAGAGCTCACCCGTGGCGAAGCCCCTCTCCAGGCCTGTCAAACCTGCCAAAACTTCCAACCCTTCCAAACCTGCCGCTGACCCCACCAAAGGCCGCGTCCACCGCCACCACAGCTCCAACTTCCACATATTCAAGTGCCCCATATACAAAAATATGCACAAAACGGGTAGGCGAACGGAGGGGGACGCTCTCTCCCGCGTTCATCCCCATCCGAGCGCTTCATCTGTGCAGCTCACCTGTGCAATTAACCTCCGCAACTCACGTCCGCAACTCACCTGTGCGCACCCCTCCCCCCGCAGACAACCGCCTAAACAACAACGAACCCATATTCTACTTAAAGATAAACTCCAAGGAGAGGAAGGAAAAATGGATTGAACGAAATGTGTCCGGCGTGTTAATACTAAAATGAAGGGCTTACCAAAAAAAAAACAAAAAAAGGGAGGGAAAATACATACACACTTATGCAGGTGGGAGGATTCGCCACACGATCATTGAAAACGTCACGCGGGATGATTCATTCGTATCCTCCACCCTTTTTGTCCTGAGTCGCGAACACTGCGGAGGTGTACCATAATCAGTTTTCTCCTTTTTTCGCCCCAGTCGGTCATTACACACGCCACAGCGCTAACTTAACCGCTTCTTTTCAAAATAAACAAATTTACATGCGCGTTTAAATGTGCATCCCTTTTTCCCCCTCGAGGTGTTACAAAAAAGAAAAAAAAAAAAAGGGAAGAAAATGTGCTCGTAGTAAGCGTCCCCTTAAAAAAAATGAGTCCGCGGTTTGGCAATTTCGTCAAACGGGTGAGCAATGTAGACGAACTGCTTGGCCAGTCCGAACTGCACAATCGAGAAGGAGGGCCCCCCCCAACACATTCTATGGTTCCCCATTTGGGCTGCTACACTTTACAAATGTTGTTTCACCAAACAGATTCGTCGCATTCACACCTCTTCAATTTTGTGGAGGCCCAACAAATGGGGCACACATTGTCGTAATGTTGTGTTCACCGCTTGGTGCAAAAATGGAAACCCTGAGCGCGGTGGCATACATTTAGCCATTTATTCAAAGTGTACCTCTTAAATTGCCCCCATGGTGCTGAGTCTCCGGAAAGGTTCCCATTCGCTCGTTTCTAATTCGCTTCTTTCTCTCATTCGATTGTTGAGAATACCCTTTTTTTTGGAGGGGAATCTTTCTTGTTGAACTTCCTGACCGATGCAGCGGAATCGCTGGGGAAAAAAAAAAGGGAAGACCCTTCATCAGTGGCGAAATGATAACAAGGAAAACAAACCAAGTGGAAGAAAAAAAAAATCAAAGATGTCGATATGAGCACTCGCCCCGTGGAAACATACTGGAGTAACTGCGCCCATGAACAATGCAAAACGAGTTCCCTTTTTCCTGAATGGAAAAAAAAAAAAAAAAAAAAAAAATACGACGTTGAACGGGTTCCAATATACGCAGTTTTATGCTGTAAAAAAAAAAAAAAAAAAAAAAAAAATAATTTCCCATTGGTTGAGTGACGAGTATGTCAAATTCACACGTTCGCCAGATGGGCCCCATTGGAAGGCCTCACACTTCTGCGACGCAGCTCCCGGGAGCGGCGAATTTCCTGCAATGACATTGCGATGTTGTCGAAATGTTTCCCCGCGAAGGGCTGAAGGTTGACAGCTGTGATTTGCGATCTGAGAGTTGAGAGCTGAGATTTCTCATATGAGAGCTGACAGCATGCTAGCCTCCAAATTCACAGCGCCAGGCGAAAAGATACATGATGCATATGAACAGCACACGCGCGGCTACACGCGCAGCAGTCTCAGGCATCGGCCCCCCGCTTTGGCCACAGAACAAAGGATGGAGTAAAATGCCTAGGCTGAACGGGAAGAAGCTTACATTTGTAAGCAGCAAAAGGAACGTCTCCCACCTTAACTACACACAGGCAGGGGGATACTACTACCACCCCTTTACCAGACAGGGGAAAAATGAAAAAATAAAATTTTGCAAAATTGCACAGAGAGGTGTAGGCAGCTTCACCGAGTATCAACAGAACAATATTATGTCCAATAGGAGGAAAAAAAAAATCTACCTGTGTGCCCTAATTTTTTCGGGTGTGTTCGGATACGCTACCTTTAAATGGAACGAAAAAAGGAACGTCACTTATTTCCTGAGTGAAATGAAAGAAATATCAGACGATATTTTCGATAAGTTAGATAACATCGTGCTGTTCGTTTTAGATAAGAACAAACTGAGGGAAGAGAAAAAAAAAATCCAAGAAATTAAAAGCGAAATTGAAAAATTAGATCTGAAGAATATTAATTTTTTGTATACTTACCATGAGGAAAGCAAAGATTACGCTTGCTATTTGTACAAAGGGCGGCGCAGGAGAAACATCACCAAGGAGGAGTTAAGTGCCGACTCGGTTAAGGACATCTTCGAGCCATTTTTCACGCCAGTCAGCGAAGACTACGAGAAGGTCAACGAAGGAAATAAGGGTGACTTCCCGGTCTGCGTGACGCATGACACATTTGAGAAGGAGGTACGGAGTGGGGAAACAGGTTCCCCAGTGGGTGCATGGCAGAAAATAGCCCTAATCCGGGGCCAACCCTTTTTGGGCACCCCCTAAAGTGGTACACCTTTACCCCTGCACAGGGAGAAAATCACGAAAACGCGCCCTTTCCTCCCGCAGATCATTGAAGACTCGAAGAGAAACGAAATACTTCTGGTTCTGTTCGAGAATACCTGCTTCTTGTGCTTCCTCTACAAGCCTTTTATAAATACCCTACACAAACTGTTTAAGGAAAACAACGTGAGGACGTGCGCCCTGCAGCGTTTGCTCAGCATCGTTTGCTCAGCAGCTTCTACTCAGTAGCTTCTACCCTGCTGCTTATCCCCCCAATTGGGTAACTCCCTAATGTGTATTGTTTCCCCCGTCCTCTCCGCCGCACCCTTTGCAGATTCAGCTCAAGCTGAAGAAGTACAATATAGAGAAGAACGACTACGCGCCCAACATGATAATCTGCAGGGGCACCCCGACCTTTTTGCTTTACCACAAGTACTTCACCCATAAAGAGCGCAGCGCTGTGTTATCCGTGTTTTCACCCCCCCCTCCTCCATGCACATGGACGTGGGCTTGCAAATGTGCTTCTGCATCTGTGCATGTATACATGTGCCTATACCCATATGAACATGCCAACTCTCCCCCCCGCAGCGGCAAGGGAAAGAAACTGGATGAGTACAAACCGAATGACATCATCAACAAAATTGATCAAGTGAGTTCGCGCATCTGTGCACACATTCGCTCGTTTTTCATACCCACGTTCGTTGCACACATTTGCTGCAAATGTGCTTCCCCATCATTTGCAGATTATTAAATCCCCAAAAGACATCAAAGAGCAAATGCTGGAGAAAGCAGAGTTAATTCACGCAAGGATGCATCAGTTTGGCTACCTGACCATGTGGTATGTTTGTGTCATCGCTGATTTGCCGCTTTTTGCGGTTAAGTGGAGTGCATAGGTGTGACATATGTGCCTTTTCGTATTCCACATTTTTTTTACTTTTTCAACTTGCTGCCCCCTGACAGGATGACCGAATCGAAAATTATAGAAAATATGCTCATAAGAAGACACGTGAAGGATATTCCAAATGTATGGGCAATCGACAACAGAGAGAACGTGAATTCGTTACATGTGTTTGTTTTTTTTTTTTTTTTGCATACGCTTATGCTCATTTGGAGGGTGCCCCTCTTCGGTCGCACTTTGCCAATCTATGTGGTGGCGTCCACTGTGCATAGCTTAATTCAGTGCAGCTTAATCGCATTTGCTTCGAATTCTACACAACTGAAACTTTCTCCCTTGCCTTCCCCCCCCCAGAGCAATGACGATGACGTCGTTTACAATGAAATATTAACTGCCCTCATAGAAGAAGACATACAGAGGAACGATTTAATTGAAGACAGCTTGAATTATACCAAGGAGAAAATAAACGCAGCTGAGAAAAGTTGCTTTGTAGCGGCCATGGTGAGTGTATAAAAACTGCACATGCGGGTGGCCATCACGTCTATGTAGATTGAGCGCACATGAAAGTGTACCCCTACGTAGTCCCGCGTAGCAGACCAAACCACAAATAGGCAACATAACCGTAAGTGTAGTCGCCATGTAGCACATTTGTGCGGGGATGTTTATTTTTTTTAATCTTCCCCTCAGATGATGGCCAACGAGCTAATTGACGAGGAAAAGAAGAAGTACCAAGTTAGCTAAATGTGATTGCCTGTTCAGAATTTTTTTTTACCAAAAATTATGAACAGAAAAAAAAAAGAAAAAGAAAAAAGAAGACAGTAGGAGAAAACTACCACAAAGGATGGTAGCAAAGTATGGCAGCAAAGTATGGCAGCAAAGTATGGCGGTGAAGGATGAACCCCTAAATAGCTACAACAAATAGAACAAAGCTTAATAAAGAGAGAAGAAGCACCCCAATTTTTAAATGTACCAGTTAATAGCATACTTTTGGCTTTTTTTTTTCACACTTTTAAACGTGTGCAAAAAAAAGCAAAAAGTGCATGAATGTTCAGAAAGTTTTTCCAACACGAATAGCTATTTTGTTCCATTTTAAAGTGTGCAAAAAAAAAAAAAAAAAGGGGAATTAATCACCCCCTTTTGGTGAGCATAAATGTAGAACAAAATTGCCTCCTTCGTTCAAGCAGCTTCTGTTTCGTTTTAGCGTTTTTGCCAGGAGGGGAATGTTCTTCTTCAGCATCGTGATAGTTTTATTCTTCCTATGTGTACACCATCATGCTGAAACGGCTGGGGCTTTTGGTCTTACAGTTTTGAACGTGGCATATGGGTGTATATATGTCTATTTGCGTCTTTAAGTGTTTGCGTGTTTATGTGTATATGTACATGTACGAATAGCAACCCTTGGGTATGTTTTTTTTTAACCCCCCTTTTTGCGCGAACAGCGCGGTATATTTACTCCTACAGACAGTGATAGGATAAGAAAAGAAAATATACTGCCCTATGTTTAAACTTTTTTCGCGTTTTTTATTTTTTCAGTGCATTTAAAGTTGCACCCCTTTGTCCACCTTTTCATCTTACATGTTCCAATCCACGCATGGTTATTTCCCCCTTTTTTTTTTCGTTGTTTTAGTAGTTTTTAGCCTTCCACGAATTTATCCATTATTTTTGTTCCCACGTTTTTGCCCCCCCCTCTTTTGTTATTGGTTTTTATGCCTGGCTGTCATGTTGCACATGCTTTGGATTTATCCCCTTAGACATAGCTAAACAGACCTTTAAATAAATTGCAGCTTCTGCGCGGCCGACAGTGTATGAAACAATCCTCTAAAGCCTAATCATTGTCAGTGCAGATGGGGAAGATCCTGCCATTGTCATTCCTTTTAACTGCCCATCAAATGTTTCGCATTTAAGAGGTATTTTTTTTTTTTTGCGAAAAAGGTGCGCAAACTTCCTTGTCAGTGATTCTCCGGAAGATTTTTGCTGATATGTGTCACCCTCTTGGGGACGTTGCAGTTGTGTAGTTTCGGTTGGCGCGCCAGTCAACCGTACAAGGCACGTGTGGACGTTTCTCCGCCTCACACGTTTTCATAACATATAGCGCACGCGATACCACCCGCAAAATGGGGAAATCCAGAAAACTAAAGAACCTAGTCAATAACGTGAAGTTTTTCGTCAAAAAATGTAGAGAGAAAAACAATAAACTGATCTCCCTGAGTAGTCTGGACGAAAAAGACGAAACGGTCAACTTGGGAATATTCACAGATGAAAAGACAAGCGGTAGTAAAAGCTTCAAGGAAAATTCTGATGAAAATATTTCCAAAGTGTCAAGCGAATCCAATTGTGATATAACACACGCAGATTTCGCCACTGCGTATGGCAGCCAATTGAGAAGAGCACAGACACAGGGGAATATGCATTCCTTGTCTGATTATTTCGACAGAAGAATTGGTAAGAAAATCGTTAAATTGGGGAATGATGGAGGGAAGAGAAAGGTGATAGGGGGAAGCATGGACAGGGGCGTGTCATTAAATGATGAAGAAGAAGTGAGAACGGAAAAGAGTGACACTAGAAACGTAGAAATTAAGAAGAAAAAACAGTGCAAGGACAGAAGAATGGAGGAAATGAGAAATGAAATCATGGAATGCGACTTGCACCTCCTCAGCATATACAAAAAGTTGGAAAAGGGGTTGAAAAGTGGGCGACCGGTCAGGAGAAGTGGGACAAAAAAGGGCGGCGGTAAGAGTAGCGGCATAGTGAACGGGAAAGCCCATACGATGAAGACGTACAACTCGGAGGGTATGAGCATAAAGAAGGAGCTTTCCCTGCGGAGGGGCACGACCCACGGGAAGGGGAAAACGAGGAAAGGTGGTAGGGGAAAGGGGGATGAAGCAAAAGACAGAGGTGGTAGCGGAGGGGGTAAACGAAAGGGGGAATCCCCAAAGGAAGATCCAAACATAGGAGTGAAAATGAAAGCAAACGAAGAACGCATCAAAATTAGGTATAGCTTCTCAGGAGATATACCCCGATTCGATTCCAAAAGTTCTTTCCTAACACGGGAGGAAACTTTTTCCAAATATCATCAGATAAGTTCTTCCAAAAACACATTTGAAAATTTTCATTTCTTTCAAGAAGGACTAGCCAATAGGTTGAACAAGAAACAGAACACGTCCTCCTTTGACATTGGCTGTATGTACTTGAATCCTGCTATAAGCACAAAGAGCTCCAGAGATTTGGGGCCAAACAGGCTGAAGGAAGAAGGTGTTACTACAACGACTTCTACAACTGCTATGGCTTCCATGGGTCCTACTTCCACGGGTCCGACTACCACAGCTGCTGCTACCTTCCTGAGTAGCTCCAGAAGCTTCCGTCGTTTTAAGTTTTTAAGTGACAACAAGAAGAACATCGAATATTATAAGCAGATGATAGAGAGATTAGAAGGGACGGTGGAGAAGTCCAAGAAGAAGAGCAACAAGAGCAGCAACAAGGGCAGCAACAAGGGCAGTAGCACCCGTGGCAGCGCTGCCACGACCAATGGCATCAGCTCTGTAGACAGCATCATTAAAATTATAAACTGTCTCCTTCATGATTATGTTCCCAAGCTGATTGACAGATATGAGTATTACCTGAACACGCTAGATGATAGGAACAAATTACTCAAGCAGAAAATTAGAGAGTCGCTAGACTTCGGGGATCTCCAATACGAAGAAATCAGAGAGTTAAAATCTGAGGTGATGCGAAAAAATCAGGAAAAGAAAAAACTAAATGACACTATAGAGATGTTGAAGGATAAATTGTCGTACGTTAACGAGCTTGAGTTAAAAAATGCAGAGTATCTAGACGAAATTATGCTCATGAGAAATAGGGTTACCTATTTGGAGAGACTGATTGAAGAAAATGATCAGTCCAAGGAGTCACATGAACTAAGGAAGATGAGACATAACTTGAGAAGGCTATACAACAGAATGAAGACTGAGATGAGACACATGAAGAAGTTAAAATCGAGATCTTTTAAGCGGCACCAGAGGGGGAAATTTTCCATTAAGAGGTGGATTCGTTTGGAGGAGAAGATGAGCGAGCTGCAGGCGCGGACGTTTAGCCTTGACCAACAAGGGGCTGCCAGTACTTCGGAGCGTAATCAATCACCCGAGAGCCAGAAAAAAGAACCAAAGCAGTACGCAGACAAAAGCGTAGACACGAGTGATATGCAGGACGTGGCCAAACCAGTTGATGTCGTAAGCAGCGGTGCCGAATGTGTGCAAATGGAAGAGGCAGGAAAGGTTAAGAAGAGAAAAGTCCGAACCAAGGACAAAAAAATCAACACCATTGTAAGCAACCGCACGTTTCTGGAGCTACTGAGGAGGGAGGAGAGGATGGCGGCGGCGGGGAGAGACGGCACCGTTGGGAGAAACGACACACTTGGGAGAGGTAATATAATGAACCGAAGTGGGCGAAGTAACCGAATCAGTTGGAGTAGCCTACCCTTTGGAAGCGAGAGGTGCACCCCCATCCCCAAGGAGAGCTACCCCTACTACCACTACTTCTACAGCAATATGCTGGCCACGTCGGAGGGAAGACCTGTTGTCAGTAGAAACCCCATCTGGCCTCCAACCCAAGTGGAAAAAGAACCTAATGGTATTGTCCCCCCCAGGGGGATTATATCGGACGAAAATTATTTATCCTTGTGCAGTCAGCTTAAGGAGTGTATCTACAAGACCTATTTCGAGGAGTGCGGCTCGGATCCGTGGGATGGAGGAGGGCAGTCTTTGGAGAGAACACCCCAACGGTGCGACGCTTCGCCTGACAGGGGGAAGCAAAACGGGGAAAATAGGGGCACACAGATTGGACAAAATGGGGGCACACAGATTGGACAAAATAGGGATACGCAAAATGGACAAAATAGGGATACGCAAAATGGACAAAATAGGGATACGCAAAATGAACCTCCTCTGTGTCGCAGCCAAATGGGGGGATCCCCCGAATGGAAGAGCCCTTTCTGGAAGGGGACCCCCCCAAGCGATGACGCGTCCACCTACTCCATTAGCAGAGGGAAGAAAAAATGTTACAATTTACCATTCGATTGTTGCAGAAATTTTAATAGAATGTTGACTGGCGAAATGAACTGTTCGCCTCTCCTCTGGGGGTGTAACGAGGCAGCCTATCGCCAAGACAGCAGCGTGTCGAGCAGGAAGCGAACTCCTCGAAAGAGGTCAACCGCATCGAGCGACTCCTCCTGGGAGAGAAAAGACAAACTTAAGATGACACGTGTAGTTAGGAAGAATCACCCATTTTTACCTAAGGATACGATTCGATCTAAATGCAAGCATAGGTATTATTATCACCGGGTTGGTGGGGGAGCGAATGGGGAGGGCCTAGAAGGGGAAACGGATCAAATGCTTAGTTGCATTAGAGGCAATGACCACCACATAGAGGAGCAGCAGAATGAACACACCTGTTTGGAAGTGCCCGAGGGAGACGATACATACGAGTTTCACAGTACAGACAAACGAAACAAAGGTGTTGACTTTGGGGGGAAGATCCTCATGGACGGTGAACCTTATGGAAGTATATACGATAAAGAGCGAGTGGATAATTTTAAGAAATTTCTAGCCATTTATAATGCACATTTTGAGGGAGATAAGAAGGGTAGCTTCATTGGCTTTTCTAAAAAAGAAGAGAGTGTCCCAACATATGAGACGACTATGTGGGACGAAGCTGTGCAGGTAGAAGTGAGGGGGAAGGAAGAAGAGGACATATACAAAGCGATCGACACGATGGCGGTTAACAGGGTTTCGGGTAGACAGCGGGGCGGTGCTTCCATTGACTGCATTATTGGCGGAACGAACAAGAGGCATAGCAGCGCCTACCACAGGGACTACCAAATTAACCGCCAATACAACTCCTGTCGTGTTAATCCGCTTTACAGCTCACGCCATTCAAATGAGGTACACAATGTGAGCAGCAATTTAGCGATAGGCACAGGGAGTAGTAGAGGAGGGCACGGGAGCAATCACTGCGACACAAGTTGGGGTGCGCTTCACGTAAAAACGGGGAACACCCCCTTTGCAGCGAACAGTAGCAACTGGCCTGGAGCACTCACTGTCATCAACAGGGACACGAATGGAAGTGGCCCCTCCCATTGGTCAAATCCGCTTATTCACAGAGGACTGGCACACTTGACTCCTATTCTTCCCCCTCGCCACTTCCCCCCAAATGGAGTTCCATCTAGAGCGAATGAAACAATTAGGTATCACAATTCACTTAATCAGTTTCTCGATATAAACACGAAGGATTTTGAAGCCATCAATAGGTACCTACACGGTCATGTGGTGTACAAAAAGGCAGGGACAGAGGCAGGGAAACAGGCAGACATAGAGGCAGACACACAGATAGACACACGGGGGGAGGGGTGGTAGTCCTGTCCGTCTTGGCTGTGTCACCCAAATGAGAGTAGAGACCCCCGCATGGCTAGTCAGCGGTATCTGCAGTGGAGAACAATGTCAAGAGAGGCACTACGAAATGGAGTGCCCTTCGGCGAAGACGGCATTTTTTTTTTTTCTTTTTTTTGGA